CATTCCCTCTGGCCGTCCCCCATGCCTGGACCGCTCCCCCTGTACCACTGTAACCACTGACCTCCCCGGCTTCCTTCAGCCCCAGCTCAAATCCCACCTTCTACAAGAAGCCTTCTCCACCCCCTGCCTCCCTAGTTAATTATTTCCTATTTATTCTGTACTTGTTTGGTTGCTTGTGGTTTCTTCTATTGGACTGGGAGCTCTTTGAGGAACTGGTTTTTGCCTTCCTTTGTATTTATTTATTTTTGCTAGGCAGTGGGGTTAAGTGACTTGCCCAGGGTCACACAGCTACTAAGTGTCAAGTGTCTGAGGCCGCATTTGAACTCAGGTCCTCCTGACTCCAGGGCTGGTGCTCTTAGCACAGTGCCTGGCACATAGGTGCTTAATAAATGCTTATTGGCTGACCAGCTCATCCAGAAGGAGAAAGTTGGGAGACTGAGGCCAGTGTAAAAGGGGTGGGGGAGGAACAACTCACTTTGGAGGCAGATGTCAGGTGTCTGCCCCCACCCCCAATCTGGAAGAAAGCTTAGTGGGGGCTTGTGCTGAGAGCCAGAGTGGGGAGCAGAAGGAGCCCAGCTCTGCCATGTCCTTTCCCCTGTCTGGGTCTCAGCTTTCTCATCTGTAAAGTGGGAGCTTGGCCCAGTTGACCTCCAGGCCTTGGATGCTAGGTCCTCTGGAGTCTGGTCCTTGGTGAGAGAAGCCTTGGCTTCCACGCTGGCTGCCCCTCCTACCCATGACCTTTCCTTATCCCTCACACTTTGCTTTGCGAAGGGTGTTCTGTCTGCTTGTCTGTCCAGAGGCAGATCCCCTTCCCTCCCCCATAGAGTGGAAGCTCTCAGAGGGCAGGGGTTCAGCCCAAACATACTCTCTCCTCACCTCTGCCTTCTACAGGAACTGTGCTCCCATCAGAGATTATTTTTGCATTTTCTTAACCACTGCCACACTATCTGGCATTTATATGTGGCGCCAAAGTTTGCAAAGCGCTTTACAAAGATTATCTCATTTTGTCCTCACAACAACCCAGGGAGCCATGTGCTATTGATGAGGAAATTGAAGGCCAGAGAGGCTGTGTGACCTGCGCAGGGTCATACAGCAAGGAAGTGTGTGAAATAGGATTCAAACTCAGGTTGGGCACTCTGAGGCAGCTAGGTTTCCCAGGGCTGGACTTGGAGTCAGGAAGACCTGAGTTAGAATCCCACCTCAAACATTTGTGCGACTCTGGGTGATTTACTTAACCTTTCTGGGCTTCAGTTTCCTGATCTGTAAACTCTCATTGGCCTCCGAGTTCCCTTTTAGCTCTAAATCTAGAATTTTCTGATCCCCTGCTCTGTGCTCCCCCTGCTTACCTGTGTACATTCATCGTACCCCCCAATATAGACATCTTGTTTTTGGTGTTGGCCCCCCCTCAGCACCAGGAATGTGCTGCCTTGTATGCAGAAGAGGTGCTTGTGAGTGTTGGTTGATTTGAACGGGGAGGGGTCTAAGCCTTGGGGAGGAGAGTGTGTGTCTGGGTGGCCGGGAGGGGCCTGTCCATGGCTTCTCTTGTGGGTCGGGCTGCCGTCCAGGAGCTTAGGAGGGCTGGGGGGCAGGTGGGCGCTGCTGCAGCCGGGCACCCAGAGGAAGGGGGCCTCCCCTCCCCCGGAGGATCCCTCCTTCCTCCCCCTGGCTCCTCCCAGTCTGGCCTGAGCTTATGTTGACTCATACCAAAGGAGGAAACTTGAGAACTTTAACCATTTCACCACAATCCGAAGATTAGGATCCAGATGGCCCCCGAATGCAGCCTGAGTGAGCTCTCCTTTCCTGCCTCCTCCAGGCCTGTCTCCATTTGGTCATGGTATTCCCTCTTCTACATCCTGTTTCCCAGGATCACAAATAAAGAGCTGGAGGGGCCCCTGGGCGTCCCAAGGCACAAAATGGCAGATGTCAGCAGGGGGGCGCTGGTAAATGTTTAACAACCAGCCCTCTGTGGGGGGAGGGGCATGTGCTTAGAAACGCTTTCATATTTAATCTGCATTTTTAACATTTTCTCCTTCACTTTCTAAGTCTTCACAATCAACAAAACCATATAGTCAAGCCAGGATTTGCAGATTTCTAAGGTGTAAATGCTCACACTGAAAATTTAACAATCAGCTCCAACTGGTTCAGATTGGCCTGGGCACAGCCCTGGATGTAAGGCACCTTCAAACGGTAACCGAAAATGTCTGGGTGGTTTTTTTGTTTCAACATCACCTGTGTTTCCCAATGTATACCTCCCCTTTCCCCTAGGCTGAGAGCTTTAAAAAAAAAAACAAAAACAAAAAAGCTAACAGAAGAATGTCTATCGTTTATCCTATACGTAATTTGCTTGCTTGTTATTTCTGCCATTAAATTGTAAGCTCCTCGAGGGCAGGGGCTTCTTTTTGTATCCTGTGCTTAGCAGAGTGCCTGGCACATTTTCTCGTTGTTTAGTTGTTTTCAGACGAGTTTGACTCTTCGTGACCCCATTTGGGGTTTTCTTGGCAGAGATACTGGAGGGGTTTGCCATTTCCTTCTCCAGCTCATTTTACAGAGGAGGAAACTGAGGCAAACAGGGTTGAGTGACTTGCTCAGGGTCACTGCTAGTGTGTATCTGAGGCCAGATTTGAATTCAGGTCTTCCTGACTCCAGGCCCAGCACTTCGCACCAGTTAATTATTAATTGACTGACATTAATTATTAATTGACTTACTGACATAGAATGTAAGAACCAGGAGGGAACTTAGAAGTCAGTCCAGCCTCCTGATTTTACAGATGAGGGAAGCCGGGGTGCAAGAGCGGGAAAGTCACTTACCCAGGGTCCCCCAGGTAAAGAGCCCAAGTGCTCTGCCTCCAAATCCATCCCTCTGTCACCTCCTGCCTGCGGGTGGAGCTCAGGGGGTAGGAGAAGCCAGGGTGGGGAGTGTGGAGGGGGAGATCTCCATAGGGAGGCCAGAGGACCTCTAGTCAGAGATGCCATAGAAGCGCTGGGTCTGGCTCGGGGATGTTTCTTGACTCTTCCCGGGAGCTTCTCTGGAGCCTGTCTCCAGGGAGCATTAAGAGAGCACCCAGAGATCCGGCTGCTGGGAGGCCACCTGGGCTGGGCTCCATCTACTTCCACCTGGCTGAGAAAGAGGAAGCCCCACCTCTTTGTGGGAGCTCCTCGGGCAGACGTCTGGAAGGGATGGGGTGGGACCACAGGAAATCTCCTCTCTGTGACGTCAGAGGACCTGTCCTCCAGGCCGGGCTGCCCCACCCTAACCTTCCCGAGATTTCCCTGGGCTGGAGGGTATAAGTTTTTTGCTACCTGCTTGCTGGAAGGGACTTCTCCCCTGGGACCAGAGCACAAGGTTTGGCTCCTGAGGCTGGGGAGGGAGGAGGGGTGGGCATCGACCAGTGGTTGGGGGGGCATCCTCAGAGTTGGCAGATGTCTTGGCATTTGGAGTTGCTCGAGAGCCCTGGACTTTGGCCTTCCCTCCTTTTTCCTGGGAGGACGTGAGGGAGGGATTTAGGACTGGGCTGGTTAGAAATTCAAGAAGTCAGCTTGGGCCAGAGGCAGATGGGGCTGCCCTTAAGGGGCTCCTCATGGGTGGAGGGGTCTCAGACACCATCAAGGCAAAACCCCTCCATTGTACAGCTGGGGACATTGAGAACTAGAAAAGTTAAGTCTTCCAGAATTTGAACTTTTGGCTTCTTGGCTCTCGAGCTTGGCTGCCTAATCGTTCCTGTAAGATTCCCCACCCTCACCCTCACCCTCACCCTCAAATTGTTATGTATGCGAGGCAGTGTGGGGTAGATGGATGGAGTCCTGTTCTGGGAGCTGAGGTCAAGTCCCGTGCCTGAAGCGTGCTGGCTTGTGGTCTGGACCTTTTGGCCGCTAGACTAGACAGAAGAATCCCTGCCGGCCACACAGTCGTCTTAGAAAGCCACTTATTAGCATTATTTTTATTTTTTAAATATTTCCTGCTTCCATTTTAATCTGGCTGTGGTCAGCTGGAGAGTGTGGTGGGCACAGGTGCCTGTTAGCCCAGCCTCTGATCCCTCTGCTCAGGGCTGTTCTTTAAGACGGGAGCAGGAGAGGGAGAGGCCGCCTCCCTCCTTGGCACCTTCCTGGTCCCGTCTTCATCTCTGGGTGGGGTGTTTCCTTCCACCAGATTGTAAGGTGCTCGTGGACAGGGACCGTCCGTGCTCCTCCTCAGCTCCTTGCACGGCTCCCAGATCATGATAGATGCTGGTGGATTTGGGCCGGGGGGTGAGCGTTGGGTCCAGAAGACTGGGTGGAGAGTGTCCTGGGAGCTGGGGCTGGGAAGGCAGGGCCAGGCTCTGATTTCCCGGCCCTCACCTGAGGGGCCCTGGGGCAGCCCCTTCCCCAGAGGCTGGTTCCTCTCTGTCTCGATGCCGGGCCCCTTGGTGTTCTAAGCAGACCTGCCCCCCACTTGGGCCATACTGTGACCCTCAGTCCCCCCACCAGAACTGGCACTTTTTCCCCTTTGAGGAGGAGAGAGCCAGGGAAGGCTGGGTCCCTCCCTGTGATGTGGGAGGCCCTCCTAGCTCCTCCTCTGTCCAGTGTAGTCATCCCTCCTGCTCCTTCCTTATCCCTTCTTGGTAAGCCCAGAGTTCTCCCAGAGATCCCGGGCTCTGCTTACTTGTTGGGAGGGGGCCCGGGAACCCAGAGGTGGGGGCTGAGCAGCCCTGGGAGCCCAGAAGAGCCTTTTCAGGTTCGCTTGGGGGGAGTTTGGGGGGGACCACCGAGGCAGGCAGTTGGTTTGCATCCCAGCATGCCATCAGCTGGGAGCAGGGGGCTGCAGGCTACCCCGGCTTACCCTCGGAAGGTTGGTCGCGTGTCTGTGTTCTCCCGTCTCCTCACCCCGGAGCCTGGAGGATTCAGAAGCTGGCCTGGCCCCTGCCAGGGGCGAGGGGAGGCTTTCAGGCCACGGGGGGGTGGTTGGTGCCGGCTGGAGGCAGATCTTGTTTCACGTGCCTGTCGTGTTCTCCTGTCCCTACCAGACGCCCTGCTCGCGGACCTGGAGTCTACCACCTCCCATATCTCCAAACGGCCCGTCTTCCTGTCTGAAGAGACCCCTTACTCCTACCCGACAGGAAACCACACGTATCAAGAGATTGCGGTGCCCCCCCCGGTCCCCCCACCCCCCTCTAGCGAGGCGCTCAACGGCACTGTCCTTGACCCCCGGGACCAGTGGCAGACTGGCGGCACCCGATACATCCACCAGCAGGTAGGGTCTGTAGACCCCGTGGCTGTGGGGGTAGGTTTGAAAGGCAAGGCACACTATGGGGAGGGTTCCATGGGCTAGGTTATGGAGCCGAGCTGGGGACCTAGAGGTAAGAGGTGGGCTGGGGGGCAAGCGAAGGGACGAGGGGAGAAGGGTCCAGAGAGGCCCCAGTCATCCCAACCAAGTACCGTCCCCCATGCACAGTAGGAGTGGTGAACAGTGTTAATCACCAGGCAGCGGAAAGCCCCCAGTGGGCTGGGAGAGGATGAGTGTGAACCTCCTGGTGGGGGGTGGCAGATGATTCAGGGCCACTCACCCTCCCTTCAACTTGCCCCCGCCCCCTCCTCTGGGGTGGAGCTGCCGTCTCACGGTGCCTTATCTCGGCAGCCTCCGCCCCAGTCTCCCGTGTACAGCTCCGGTGTGAAAAATCCCAGCGTCCCCGAGTCCCGGGACAGCCTCGGGTCCCCCTGCCCCCGTGGAGCCAGTGAGGAAGAACACGTGTACAGGTAGCAGCCCGCGTCGTCCCCCCAGGTGCCCAGCGTGGGGCAGGGGCTTGTCTTCTCAACAGGGTCTCTGCCCAGTGCCATGGGAAAGCAGCCAGCCTGCGTGCTGCTGGGGTCTGAGGGCAGTAGTGAGAATGATAATAACAATAACAATAACAATGATAAAGTAATAATAATGGCAGGTAGTGTGTATATAGCACATTAAAAATGGCAGAGGCCTTTACGTGTGGCATGTCATTTGAGCCTCTCCACAGCCCTGGGAGCTAGGTGCTCTTAATGTTCCCAGTTTACAGGTGAGGAAACTGAGGCAGAGATCACATAGCTGGTGAGTGTCTGAGGCTACATTTGAACTGAGGTCTTCTTGACTCTAGGTCTGGCGCTCCCTAGCTGCCTCAAGTTGCTTCACCTCTCTCTGCCTCAGTTTCCTCATTTGTAAAGGGAGAGAGTTGGAGTAGTAGGCTTGTGAGGTCCCGTCCAGATTCTCAGTCATTTAACCTTCTATGCTTTAGTCATTTAATCTCTTTGCCTGCCTCGATTTCCTTGTCTGTAAAATATGGGGGCATGACTAGTTGGCTTTTAAAATCTAGTCCAGCTCTAAACGGGTGATTCTCTGGTTGCCTGGGATCCCTTCTCTGCCTCAGAGTCTGTGCGTGTGATATAACCCCCGTCCCACCGACTTCTCAGAATTGTAGGGAGCCGCCAACGAGACCGTTAATGTAAGGGGCTTAGAGAGCTACAGACGTGTCATTTGGGGTGTTTATTGTCATTAGGAGGAGCCAGAGCCCTCCCCCTCCCCTTTCCCCCTCTCTCTTTCCTCTCCTTTCCCTATCCCCCTTTTCTGTCTCCCCCTCTCCACTCCCTCTTTTTTCCCTCTCCCCCTTCTTTCCCCCTCCCCCTTTCCCCCTCTCTGTCTCCCCCTCTCCCCCTTCCCCTTTCCCATTAGGTCAGGTGGCAGGGTCACTTGCTCCCTCATGCACGTTCCTGTTGCGTTCTGACTGTTGGGAGCTTTTGCCCCGGTTCTCTGCTACCCCTTTGGGTAGCTGAGGGTAGGAACCAGACTTCCTTCCTCTCCCAACTTACCACATCCCTCCCCGTCCCATTGCACATCCTCGGCTTGGAGAGATTGCCTTCCTCCCCCCAGGCCTCGTCCTCCCCAAGAGCCGACAGGGCGCTCAGCAGCGCCTGGTCCAGCCCGGCCCCCTGGGAATGCCCCTGGAAGGGTCCAGACGGGTGGTCGTCTGGCTCTTCCTGAGGACCTCCAAGGAGGCTGCCCCTGCACTCTGGGAAGTTGTGCTGACATTAAGCTATCAATAAAGCTGCAGGCTCCCCAGGGCGTGAGCTTCGGGCCCCTCAACCCTCCAGAAACCCGGGGGTCAGTGTCTCGTGCGCCCCCCCTTCCCCTGCCATTCCAGGGATTCTCATGGGCCTCCTTCCTTTCCCCCTCCCCCAGTTTCCCCAATAAGCAGAAATCAGCTGAGCCATCCCCCACCATCATGAGCTCCTCACTGGGCAGTAACCTGTCAGAACTTGACCGCCTTCTCCTGGAATTGAATGCAGTCCAGCACGGCCCTGCGTCTGGCTTCTTGTCAGGTGAGGGGAGGGGGGCAGGGCTGCTTTCTTGCATCCTCATTTCTCAGGCTCCCCCGGCGTTGGCATCGATTGGACTTTCTCCTCTTCTCTCCCAAGATGACGCTAACCAGAGCCCTCCACTGCCCGGGGGACTGAGTGCTCACTATGGCATCCCCGAGAACAACAGCCCCTTGGGGGGAAAGGCCACCCCCCCAGTGAAAGAAAAGCCCAAGCGGAATGGGGCCCGGGGGCTGGAGGACATGAGGCCCAGCGTGGAGAGCCTTTTGGATGAGCTGGAGAGCTCCGTGCCCAGCCCTGTGTGAGTACCAGCTTGGCCTGGGGGTGGGGGTGGCACGGGGCCCACCCCTGCTCTCTGGGACATTCTTGGAGTCTCTTTGTTAGGTTTGAGGGGTTGTGGTACATTCCTGACCACTCCCTCCCTCTCTGTGGACTTGCTAAGTAATCTCCCTCCTCCTCCCTCTGGATCCCCGAAGAAGTAGGAAGAGCCAGGGATGGGACAGGAATTCATCCTGCATTCCTTTCTCCCCGTCATGGGCAGGGGCAGCAGGGTCTGTTAGGAAGGGTGTTGTGCTGGGGGTCAGGCAAGAGTGGGCGCAGATTCCACCGCTGACACTGGGACGTATCATTTCTAGGCCTCACTTTGATCATCTGTGAAATGGGGCTGATGACCCTCCTCCGAGTTGTTACTGATGTTATAATAACTATGCATGAACAGCCCTGAGACACTCTGTTGTGATCCCAGATTCTCAGGAAGCCCCCACTGGTGGAGTCACAGATCCTTGGAATAAGGATTCATACACCAGGAGGGCAGGCACTTTTTTCCTTTTTAGTGCCAGCACATAGTAGGTGCTTAATGAATGCTTTTGGATTGAATTGAGACACTTCAGAGAGCTGTCAGTAAGACCACTGCTCAGCCTTTTCTTTCCTAAAGGCTTCAGGGCCTGGCTCGGTGTGGCCTTTGCAGAGTGAGCCCCAAGTGTAGACTGGGGGCATTGAAGCCTTGGGAGGAGTCCAGGCTGTGGTTGTTCCCGATGTTGAGAACGCCGCCTGGAATTCACCGCTCACCATACCCGTGCCCCTTCTCTACAGCCCAGCCATCACGGTGAACCAGGGTGAGATGAACAACCCTCAGCGCGTCACGTCCAGCCAGCAACAGACCCGCATCTCGGCCTCCTCAGCCACCAGGGAGCTGGACGAGCTGATGGCCTCCCTCTCGGACTTCAAGGTGCTCTGCCGGCCTGGGTCTTTCCCCCCATTCCTATCACCCCAGTGTCCTTATTCCCCATCTGACCTTGGACCTGTGCGCAGATCTGAGCATGGGATGCCCTGCCTGCTGCTCTGTGGTCAGCCACTGGAGGCTAGGGAGAGGGAACCCACAGCCAGGGGAGCTGCCCTGGCTCCAGCTAGGTGGGCAGCAGGATGCCGCCTTGGCCAGGTCAGGTCGAAGGCGGTTCCTGCTTCTAGCTGCTGAGGTTGGTGGACTTGGAGCAGACAAAGGGCCTCTGTCACTGCTTTTGGGGTAAGGAAGGGAGGACGTTGACCCCAAGGGCCTGAAGCCCAGGGGCCAGCTCTCACCTGTCCAGATCCCCTGCATGGCGTTGACTGATGTCCTTTTCTGCCCCCCCCGGCACCTCCACTCCCTTCTCTCTGCCTTCCAGTCCCCTGATAATTTACTTCTCCTTTGCCCAGAATCCATGGGGCTGATTCCACAGCCTTACTCTCTTCCTTCCCTCCCTCTGTGGTCTGGCAGCTGGGCCTCTCCTTCCCACCAGCCACGACTGTGGGAAACCCAACACCTTTGGCTGGCGGGCCGGCATTGACCAGTAGCTTATTCTGAGACTGGTCTCTTGCCCTGCCCTGAGCCCCTCCCGACCCAGCCTCCAGGCGACCTTCCCTGCTTCCCCCAACCCAGGGATGGGCTGGCATGTTTTATTTAGAAGATGAGAGGTCTGCCAGGATCTAAATGGGTATTGATGGTGATTGATTTCTCCAATAATTTGCTGACCTGGCCTTGCCTTCTGGGTCAGATGGCAGCCTTGGGGAGGGGCAGAGAGTGATGGAACAGGAAGCTGAGGGACTGGGAGGGGGAACTGTCCTACCGGCCTTCTCTTCTTGATGATCAAGGGCTGAGGTCTTTTCTGGGGGGCTTGAACTAGGCTTTGTCCTGGTTCCATATGGGCAAGTGGCGCCATCTTGTTCCACACTGACGCAGAGGAAATGCCTCTGGGAGAATTCTCGAGTCCATCATAGCGGAGGAACCTTGGTCTCTGGACCGCAGGCTCAGAAGTTTCCCCATTTTGGGGGCTAAGGTTTGGACTTGTGTGGTGGCTGATGACGCAGCAGATGGTGTCTCCTGTCTAGTGGGGGCTGGGGCAGGGGAAAGCACGAGTCCTCCAAGAAGATAAACTCAAGGTGGGGAACAAGGATGATGGCCTTTTGTTGGCTAAAGAAGGCTGCAGGGCCAGGGAGGGGCAGACCAGCAGGGAACCCAAAGTGTGGTGTTTGTAGGTCACCAAAAACTCCTGTTTGCCATCTCTCTGGGCCGTAGCGAGTTTCTTTATAGAGGAGGTATGTGTGTGTGTGCGCGTGTGTGTGCACGCATGTGTGTGTGTGCGTGTTGGGGCTGTCGTCTAGATGTTACCCCCACTTATCTTGGAGAGCCCATCCACCCTTCTTGTCTTATCCCTCTTTTGACTTTTCCCCCCTCCCCACTGGGCCATTTAAGAGACGCCCCCCCTCCCCCTGATCCCTGAAGTGTGCTTTCTTTTATAAGTTTTTTGGTTGTTCTTTGGCCTTGGAGGACGCCCCAGTGGGTGACTCGGGTGGTCTGTGGGCCTGGCTGTCTGTTCTCTGAGTGTCTGGGAGGAAGTGAGCTCCCCGTCACGAGCTGCTTAGATCTGAGAAGTCACGTCAGACGCTCTGGGAGATGGAACTCATGCCCAGGCCAAGGGGTCTTGAACTCCCTCTCTGCCTTTGTCCTGATTTTCCTCCAGACCAGCTCCTCCGTGTCCCCAAGGTCGGTGCTGTTGGCCCGCTCCGGTACCTCTCCGGAACCACACAGCACCCTCTCGTCTTCTGTTTCTTTGATGCCTCGAACTAGACGTGCCTCCGGTGATGGGGGGAGTGCCTCTGGGGTCCTGTGCATTGAAGAACATGGGGCTGTGGGGAGGAGTCCCCCAGCTCTGTCCTCAGATCCCCTCACGGCCCCTCCTCCTCTGGAGGGGCCCAACCCGACCAGGCCTGGGGGGGTGTCTGATGCTGCCAGCAGTGGGTCATCCTTTGTGGATGGATGTCTCTCTGAGACAAAGGACCAGGGCCCGACTCAGAAGAAAGACGGGGCCAGAGCAGGTCTGGGCAGTGAGAAGAGGCCTCCTGAGGCTGTTTGTTCTGACTCCTTCTTGCCCAAAGCACACTCGAGGTCCTGGCAGCCTAGCTCATCTTGGAAGGTGCCCCCCCACCCACCTGGTCTGCAGGAGGTGAATGAAGCTTCGAGGGAGCAGCTGTGGACTTTGGAGCCCTTGGGGCCCCCAGATTCGCACGAGGCTGCTTGTGTTGTGGAAGGAGCCATTGAACCAGCTGTTGTTGCTGAGAACCGGCAGACTGTCTTCCCGGACACCTGGGGCCCTGCGAAGGAACCCAGACCGCAGAGGACCTTGGCAGGGCAAGGGCTGATGGGTCAGGACGGCGGCCACCCCACCCAGGCCAAGAAGGAGCCGGGCCAGGAGAGCACTGCCTGGAGAGATGTGCCTGCCATGAGCACCGAGAGCGGAGGCCGGGGCACGGAAGCCCTGAGCAGCTTGGCCAGGAGGGACGAGCCGGAGCCGCCCCTGGGAACAGAGAGGATTTCCACCTCTGGCCAGGCAGGCACCAGAGGGGGAGGGCGGCTGCGGCTGCTGTGCATGGCCCCCAGTGCATGGTGTGAGACTGGACTTTCCCCTGCCCCTCCTGCTGCACTAACAGCATGAGCCCCTGACAGAGCTGTTGTGTGCATGGCGCTCGTGGTGAGGCCCTCAGCTTGGAGCGCCAGGGACCTTAGCCACGTCCTCAGAAGAAAACGGGCCTGGGCTGAGAATCAGGAGACTTCTCACCACTGCAGCTGATGCATGTCCGTGACTTGCTGGGCCTGGGCCAGAGCAGGCCGGCTGCCTCCGGGCCAGGGGTGTATCTTACTAATCCACATGCTCCGTGTCTGTGGGATGCCCCGTCCACTCTGTGAGGTGGGCTGGGCACAATTTGTCATTGTTCCCATCTTACAGATGGGAAAATGAAGGCACAGAAAGATTAGAGGGAGAGCCCCGCTCTCCTGGTGGAGATCCAACGTGCCTCACCGCCCTGCTCTTTTTGAACATCCGTCTTCACCCGTGTGGAATTTTGCTCCTCAGTGCTTGACGGGGACAAGAGTAAATGCATAATGAGAAGGGTTGTGTCTGCTTGGCCTGCCCGGGAGCCAGAGGATGGTTAGAAGGACGCAGCCATGACCGGCTTCCTCTGTCTCTCAGATCCGCTCTGTGATCAGGAGGAGCCGGGAGACGGGCCACGCGCACCCCATGTCCCGGGAACCCTCCCCGCGTCGACGCCTGAGCCCCGCCGTCCTCCACAAGACCCCTTCTCAGGACCAGCTCATTGCCGAGTTGCAGGGCCGGCTGGGCATCAGGCCAGAGGAAGAGGGGGTGGACGAGGCAGGGGCTAACCCAGAGGCCTGGCTGACGGAGGGGGTTGTCATCACCGTGCAGCCACGAGGGAGGCGGGACGGGGTTCAGGTCATAGAGAAGGTATCAGGGCGGGGCTCCTCAGCGTAGCCTCACAGGGGTGGGGTGGAGGAGGAGAAGGGTGTTTGGAACACTTCCACTTCTCTTCTGGTTCTTGGTTGTGTTTGCAGTTAGGGCCGTTTTGTATGGGTCAGGGGGAGAAGAGGAGCTGGGGGGCTGTGTGGCCACCAGGTGTCTCAAACCCTGGATGACATTGGCCAGAAGAGGATTTCAGATCCTCTTCAGGGCCCTGGTCTCAGAAATCTTCAGGGATAGGGCTTGGCCCTTTGCCCTCATCCTGGCGCTGGTCTGGCATGAGAGGGTGGTGGGGCCTCTAGATCTCGGGGGCTTTTCCTTTCTCTCGTCCTCACTTGTCTTCCTTCCTTTCCCAGGTTGTCTTTCCTCCTGACTCTCCCATTCCCCTGAGAAGAACCATCTCAGTTCCTGTCTCTCCTCCTCCTTCTCCTTCTCTCCAGTATCTCAGACACACTCCTGAGAGTGGGCCCCCTTCCCCCCAGGCACCACCAACCCTGGCTGATGCCTCCCCCAGGCCTCTGGGGGTCAGGGATCCCCATGATGAAGAGGGGCACTCAGCTTCCCTGGGCCCTCTTCCGAGCGTGGCCTCTGTCTCCTCCCCACCCCACACCCCGGCTGCCGCCCGCCTCACCGTGTCTGTTGGCTGTCAAACTGATGACGATCCACTCTTCTCCCCAGTTCAGGCAGGCCTGCCCCCGGGGGGTCCCTAGGACTGTCAAAACCAGGCCATCATGGTCCGGTGCCTGGCCTCCACCCTTCATCTCCTGCTACCTCAGCCCTTTTCCACAGTGCCTCGACCTCACTCCAGTCCCCTAGTCAGGATGCTGACCTCAGCCTGTCACCCTCCTCCACAGGTGCTGACGGGGACTTCAGCAGCCCACTCCCCGGCCCCGATGGCAGCCCGTCCACCCCCCAGCCCTCCCACCCTCAGGAAGGCAGCCAGCCCATCTCCTCGTGGCAGTGAGCTCTCTGCAGCCCTGGCCTCTCCTGAGGTTTGCCCCTTTCATCCCCTTAGGGCATGGTCCTGGGCTCCTAGCTCCAAGGGGGCCCTGCTAAGAGAAAGAAAGAAACCAGCATCGTCTGTAGCTCTCCTGCCTTTCCCCTTTCGGTCAGGTCTGCTGTCTAGGAGGCTTCTCTGTTCCTCTCCCTCCTCCATGGAGCTCTCTTGGGGTCAGGCCTCATCTCTCCAGGCTTTTCCCCCTCCTCGCCCCCTGGGCTGGGGGGAGCCTTTTCTTTGCTCTGTGGTTGGGAAGAACTACTTTCGTCAGCAGCCAGGCTACAGAGGATCATGGGAAGTCTTTGAACTCTAGGGTTGATCTGGCCATCAATCAGTTATTCAGTCAACAAACATCGGGCCCTTCCTATTTGTACTGGTGTGGAGATGCCTAGACCTGTCTCTCTGCAAGCAAAGGCCTTACTCTCTCATCAGGGAGTTTTCTCGTCTCTCTGTCAGATCCAGGGTGGTGGGCTGTGTGGGCTATAGGCTGACTTGTGCAGGGAGGGCTGAGCATCACTGTCCAAATGGCAGTGGAGGTGGGTGGGGGAAGGTGGTAATCTTAGCACAGAGAATGCTGTCCCGCTTCCCTTCTCTCTTATCCCACAGGCTTCTTCTCCCCTTATCTACCTTCAGGACAGGATCTTCCCCAAGAGCTGTGGGAGGGAGACAGGGGGCGACCTGAATGGATGGATCCCTGCTTTGTTGTTTGGCCTCAGGAAGGTCACCTCAGTTACTGTGTCTGTAGAGTGGGTCGAATGGCCTTGAACCCTAGGAAGTCTCCAAGTTGGCAGAAAATACCTGGTGTCCCAGCCAGAGATTTCAGGTGTTGCTGGCTGTCTTGTTCCAACCACCTTTCTCCTCTTGCTCCACAGTTCATGGCCCAGGGGAAGGTGGGGAGCAGCTCCCCACCTGGTGGCCCCCCGAAGCCAGGGAGCCAACTGGACAGCATGCTGGGGAGCCTGCAGTCGGACCTGAACAAATTAGGTGTGGCCACGGTCGCCAAAGGTGTCTGCGGGGCCTGCAAAAAGCCCATTGCTGGACAGGTGATGGAGGAGTGGGAGATGGGAGGGGAACTAGAGACAGCCTGGGCCAGAGGCACCATCTGCTTCTGAGAGGGTCTGACACACCCCCGGGGGCGGGGGTTGATAAAGAGTACGATCCCTTGACTCAGTGGGTTGGTAGGGATGGGGTGGAGAAAGGCCTCATTTTATTGTAGTAGCTGAGTTTATTAGACACCTAGCTAGGTAGCATAGTGGATAGAGTGCCAGGCCTAGAGTCAGGAAGATGCGAGTTCAAATCTGGGCTCAGACACTGACTAGCTGTGTGACCCTGGGCAAGTCACTTCACCCTGTTTGCCTCAGTTTCCTCATCTATAAAATGAGCTGGAGCAGGAAACAGCAAACCACTCCAGTATCTCTGCCAAGAAAACCCCAAATGGGGTCGAGAGTCAGACATGAGTGACAGCCATCACCATGTGCGAGGCACCGGGCTCAGTGTGTAGGGGATACAGACAAAAAGGAACGGTGCTTGCCTGCCCTCGGGGAGCTGACCTTCTTTCCCCCATCCTCCCCTGGCCAGCCTTCCTCATTTCCCCCTTCCCCCAGGTGGTGACGGCGATGGGAAAAACCTGGCACCCGGAGCATTTCGTCTGCACCCACTGCCAGGAGGAGATCGGCTCCCGGAACTTCTTTGAACGTGATGGGCAGCCGTACTGTGAAAAGGACTACCACAACCTCTTCTCCCCGCGTTGCTTCTATTGTAACGGGCCCATCTTGGATGTGAGTCCTGGAGGTGCACGGGGCGGATGAGGCCGGGACGCCCACTCGGCTGCATGGCTGGGTCCTTCCCCACATGGGCCGCTCCCTGCTTGCTGGAACCCTGCTCACCGTCACGCTCAGGGTCCACAGTCTCAGGAGACGAGAGAGGGACCAGTCAGTGGGGAACCTGGAGGGCAGAGGCGGAGTTTCTGAAGAAAGGAGGTTGGGTATGAGAGTAGGGAGGCTTGGCATGGGCAGCCCAGGCTAGCAGACAGCGCGAGAACGCATTCATTCATTCAGCAAGCGTTTATTAGCCACCTACTGCATACCAGGCTCTGGGGATAAAAAGACCAGTGGCCCTGCCCTCTAGGAGCTTGTGTGCTTGGAGAAATAGAACACGCACATTGATAAATAAATATTACGTATTTGCCAAGTGGGGTGGGTTCCGGGCGGAGGTTTGCGGAGTGAGCACAGGTGGGAACCTCCCCCGAATCACCTCCCATCTGCAGGGGGCTTCTCTGAGGCCTACAGAGGGCTTCTTTGCCCACCCCCGTACGTGGATACATTTCTCTGGGCCTCAGGATGCAAACGGCCCCTTCAATAGCTTTTCTGTCCGGGATTTCTCTTATCTAGAAAGTGGTGACGGCCTTGGACCGAACTTGGCACCCGGAGCACTTCTTCTGTGCTCAGTGTGGAGCTTTCTTTGGACCGGAAGGTACCAAGCTTGGGTTGCAGGGGGTCAGTAGTGTCTGAGGGACGGTCATGTTCACATTAGAGGCCAGGGTGGTGGTGGGGGGGTGGATAGATCCCTTCCTGAGCCTCACAGGCCCCTTTACATCTAGGATACTGTGTTCTCAATGTTAGAGAGACAGCAGAGGGTGGTGGAAAGAGTGCTGGGCTTGAAGTCAGAGGATCTGGGTTTGAATCCTGCCTCTGACTTGCTCTGTGGCCTTGGCCAAGACATTTCTTCCTTTTAGGCCTCAGTTCTGTCTTATAAAATGAGACAGTTATATTACCTGATTTCTAAGCTCCCTTGCAGTTGACATCCCCTGTTCTAAGGCCCCTCCCAGCTCTGACATCCCCTGTTCTAAGGCCCCTACTAGCCCTGACCTTCTCTGAACCTATCCTTTGCTCTCCTCTCCCATGTAGGGTTCCATGAGAAAGATGGCAAGGCGTATTGTCGAAAAGATTACTTTGACATGTTTGCCCCTAAATGTGGAGGCTGCGCCCGGGCCATCCTAGAGAACTACATCTCTGCGCTCAACACCCTCTGGCACCCCGAGTGTTTCGTCTGCCGGGTAAGGCACCCCGCCCTTTCAGCCGCGCTCTCTCTGCTCCCTGGCTGTGCCTTCTGCTGAGGCCCATTGTCTTCAGTTCTGTTTTGAGGGAGGCCCATGGACTTGGGTGTCTGGTCCTTTCCCCAGCAGAGGGGGGGGGGGCAAGCAGACAAAGGATCCTAATATCATACCAGAAACTTGTCTGGCCCTGGACCTCGGGCCCTGGGGAACCCCTGCAGGGCCACAGTATGAGTCACGGGGAGCTGCCGCATGGAGGAGGCAGGAGGGCTGGGTCAAGCCTGGCCTCTACCTCCTTTTCCTGAGGCTCGGTCTCCTTGTCTGGATGGCCTCTGAGGTCCCTTGGCCCCTCCTCAGGTCTCCGTGGGAGGGTCTGGGGCCCCTCTGCTGCTGGTCAGAGCCCCCCTGGGGCCTGACTGTTCCCGTCGTTCCCTGTGCTGGTCAGGAATGCTTTACGCCGTTCATCAATGGCAGCTTTTTCGAGCACGACGGGCAGCCCTACTGTGAGGTGCATTACCACGAGCGTCGCGGTTCGCTCTGCTCCGGTTGCCAGAAGCCCATCACGGGCCGCTGCATCACCGCCATGGCCAAGAAGTTCCACCCGGAGCATTTTGTCTGCGCCTTCTGTCTCAAGCAGCTCAACAAGGGAACCTTCAAGGAACAGAATGACAAGCCCTACTGTCAAAACTGCTTCCTCAAGCTCTTCTGTTAGAGCCTCCGGCTCTCCCCTCCCCAGCCAGCCTCCCCCCTGCCCCCCACGGGACCCCCCAGGCCCACCCGGGAGGGTCCTCGAGGCAGTGGAGGGCTCCTGGGACCCAGAGACCTCCCGGCAGGGGACAGAGAGGCCAGGGCGCCACACCTGTTTCTGGTTTCCTCTTCCCAGGGATCTCCCCAGGCCCACTTCCCTCCCCCTTCCTCTGTTCTCCCTGCCTCTCTTTCTTTCATGGTGGGAGAGATCCGTTGTGGCCTGGGGAACCAGTCAGGTTTCCTTCCTGCCGTGCAGAGCCTGGCACCCCACACTGGAATCGTTTCTTAGCCAGGTCACTGGGCATCCCCAGAACCAGGGCTGCCCATTCAGGGAGTTTTTGAGGGGCAGAACTTTTGTAATCCTTCCGCTCTCTCCCTTCCCTCCTTCCTCCCCCCATCCTCTCCCTCCTCCCTCTCTTCTCCTTCCTCCTCCTGCCTTCCCTCCTCCCCCCCATCCCCTGGTTCAGCACTCTGGAGGGCAGCCATCCCCTGCCAAGTGAACGCCAGCATTAACCCCCCTGGGGAGAAGACCGGGGGGGGGAGAAGTTCCCAGGTCTCTCTCTCCTCTGCCTGAGGCCTCCTTTCTTGTGGCTCTCATTCACTCGGTTCTACTGAGAAAGGACTCTCCAGCAATAATATTTTATATTGACTTTGTGGGCTCTAGGATTGGCGGGCATGCCGTGAGCATGGCCCCTGGACTGGATGCTGCCCCGTGTTTGATAGATTTCTACACTGACGTTTGAATTCCTGTTTATCTGGGTTGCTTTTAATTCTCTCTATGAATGATTTTGACAAGATTTTTAAGATGTTCCTTTCGGTCCTGTCCTTTGCCCGCTCTTGGGCCCCTGGGGGCGGTGACCCAGGCACCTTTGCTGTCCAGCACTCTTAACCAATAGGGTTTTCTTTGTACCGAGGGCTTCTGGGTGAGAGGCAGCCAGTATCTTTTTCTAGCACAAACCAGTCGGTCTAGGAGTCATCTTTTTTTTAATTCCCTCCCTCCCAGTTCACCTAGAACATTTTGTAAACTGCTGTATTCAGACCCCCTTCCTCCCTGACTCTGTGTACCAGGGTCTCAGCTAACTTAGCTCATTTGCCTGCCTTCAGGAGGGAGGTGAGCATGTAACATGTGTTGGGTGGTAGGGAGAGACTTGGAGGGAACATGAGGGCATTTCCCAGTTTCTGCCGGAATAAGCCACAAGGAGTTGGGGGCAGGGTCCTACATCCAAGCCCTCCTTGTGTCTTCTGAGTTCCCCCAAGGCCCTGCTCCAACGTGCCCGGTAGAGGTCAGGGGGTTGCCCTCTGGCTCTGGGCATCCTCCTAGATTCTGTAAAGCACCTTTTGTGCCAGTTTCTCTGTTCTTTGGGAAACCTGGGGTGGAGCGATGGAGGAATAGAATAGAATAGACATTCCTTCTTAAGAAAAGGATGACGATGGAGCCAGGGGGTGCTCGGGACCGCCAAGCTCTGCTGCCCCAGCTTTGTCCCCATTTTGTGCTGACGGTAATGAGTGTTTGGAAAATTCCTGGGGGAGAAACCCGACTGAAACTGATGGTGGTTTTGCAAAGGGGCCTTGCTCTCATTATGGGCCATGAAATATTCTCGAGTCCCTTGAGGCCAGGTCTTGGGAGAATCCTGGGAAGATTTTCCCAGTAGGTGAAACGGGAGCTTACCTGAGTCCCCAGGTGGAGCTGCTATTCCTGCCCATTCCCGGAGCCTTCTCCGGTCATTGGGAATTGGCCGCAGACAGGGCAAAAGACAGTCTGGGTCTGAGGGAGGCTGAGTTAGCTGGGAACTCAGTGCACACTCAGCTTTCTGGTTCAGCTAGCTGAATGAAAGCCAGGGGCTCTCCAGGCCAGCTCTGCTCTGTTTTGGGGTGTCTGTACGTCCACCTCGAGGCCTTAGTGCTCTGTTTACAGTGACCTGCCCCGTCCCTCCCCTTTGGGTTCAGGGACATCTGGGGGAATGCCTCTCTGGGTCAACAGTTTGATTTGATTCTTTCTGCCCTATAAACTTTTAACCTTGCTTTTCCCATTTAAATTCCTGTGATTTATGCCAATAAAATTTACCATTATTTTCACCTTGCCTTGTTTCAAGACTTTTTTGGTTGGAGATGTGAGTCTGACCATCCCCATCCCTAAGCGTAGATGCCAGTTTGGCTCTACTTGGTCCTGGTCGGTAGACCACGTTTGGAGCGCTGGGGTCCCTTCTGGGCATTTCTCCGGAAGGATGCTGACAAGCCGGATGAGGGCCAGCATGGGGAGGAAAGAGGACCCCCAACCAGGCCACGGGGCAGTTGTACTCCCCTCCCTCATGTGTTTTTCCTCAGGCTGTTTCTAATGCCTGGGAATTCTCTGTTCTTCAATTCATTTCAACTGAACACATTTTTACTAAACATCTATTCCATGCCTGGTGCTGTGCTGGCCCTAGGGAGGGACAGACAAAAAAAGAACGTAGTCCTCAGAGTTTGGTTAAAGGAACTGGGAATCCTAGGATCATTGATTGGGTATAGAAAGGACTTGGGGGGCTGTCTCATCCACCCCCCCCCCATTTTTACAGAGGAGGAAGTAAAAGACTTCATGAAAGACATGGAGGAGGCAATGGCTAACTTCTGGTATTGGAAGTAAGAGGGAGGAATCCAGAAGGTTTTAGTTGGCGCTAGAAGGCAGCTAGGTGGTGCTAGAACGCTGGGTCTGGAGTCGGGAAGTCCTGAGTTCAAATCCTGCCTCAGAAGAGTACTAACTGTGAGATGTTGGAAAAGTCACTTACGGGCTGTCAGCCTCAGCTTCCTCATCTATAAAATGGGAATAAGTATAACACCTGCCTCATAGGGTGGTTATGAGAATCAAATGAGAAGGTGTGTAAAGCCTTTTTGAAAGCCTTCAAGTGCTATATAAATGATAGCTATTATTGTTACTGTGATTTACTAATGGGGAATCAGGCTGGAAGGAATTAAGTGACTTATCCAGAGTCCCACAGCTAGTTAGTGGGTGAAGCAGGATTTGAACTCGGGCCTTTCTCACTTGAATCTAGGCTTCTGTTCACTTACACCAAATCCAGCTACTTCTCCAGCACCAACTGTATGCTGCAGAGCTGTTCTAGGCCTTAGAGGAAATATGTTTAGACACAGGACACCGTCCTTCTGTTCTAAAGTCATGTCTGGAAACATTTATTAGCCGCTTACTATGTGCCAGGCACTGTGCTAAGCGCTGGGGATACACAGAAAGGCAAAAGACAGCGCCTGCCCGTGGAGAGCTTACAGTCTGACGGTGGAGACAGAAGGTGACTTGAGTGGGAGGGAAGTCACAGGGAGAGAAAGCTGGAAATACACTAGGGATACTAATAACACGTCAAGCCAAGGTCACCCTGGGAATCCTGGTCTGGCCCCAAGTGCTCTGGATGATCTGGGCTGACAGCTGGCCCCTCTCCAGCTCTGGTGGCTGCCCTCAGCTCAGGTTTGGGGTTTCCAGTCCTAGTAGAAGACTGTGCCAACCGAACCCTGCTGTCCTAACTTGGATGTGTTGATATTTACAGAGTGGGGGGCCCCTGTACTGCCGACGTCCCAGCTGATGCAAAGTGTCCCAGGAAGGAGTGTACGTGTGTCCCTTTGAAAGTGATAGATACTGAACCCACTGTTCTGCTCCACATGGGAGAGCCACGGGAGGGACCAACAGTAGCCCTCCCAGAGAAACATAACAAGATGCCTGGGATATGAAAGGAAAACATGTTCTGGAACCTGGGAGAAAGGAGCCAGCTCGGCCTGGAGTCAGGAGGACCTAAGTTCAAATCCAGCCTCGACACTAGCTGTGTGACCCTGGGCAAGTCACTTAACCCCCATTGCTTCCAAAATAAAAAAAAGAAAAACAAAAAAACTCACTAGCTGTGTGACCGTGGGCAAGTCACTTAAACCCAATTGCTTTGCAAAAAGGAGCCAGCAGCAACTGAGGAAAACTGGGGGAGGAAGGTTGAGAGGGAATGGGTGTCAATTCTGCTTCCACAGCAAGCATCTCTTGCCTGTCCCCTTTCTTTTCTTTTTCTTTTTTTTTTTTTTTAGGCAGTTGGGGTTAACTGACTTGCCCAGGGTCACACAGCTAATAAGTGTCAAGTGTTTGGTCTGAGGCCGGATTTGAACTCAGGTCCTTCTGACTCCAGGGCCGGTGCTCTATCCACTGCGCCACCTGGCTGCCCCTTCGCCTGTCCCCTGTCCCCCATTCCCCCGGTCACCCAGTGCATTGCAGGCTTTAGCCTTCTGTTTGGCCTCCCTGCCTCCACTCCAATCCATCACCCACACAACTGCCAAAATCATCTTCCTAAAGCTCAGGTCTGCCCAGAAACTTCGCGGCTATCTGCTTCTATGCCTCTAGAATAAAATACGGTCTCCTCAGCTTGGTGTTGAAAGCCCTCCATGATCTGGCTCTAGCAGACCTTTCCAGACACGTCCCATTACTCTTTGCTGCCTCCCACATAACACAGCTGCACTGGCTTCCTGGCTATCCCTCGTCCTCAGCACCTCTCTCTTTGCCCAGGCTGTCTCCCGTCCGTGGCACACACTCCTTACCACTTCCACCTCCTGGAATCCTTAGCCTCCATCAAGGATCAATTCAGGTATCGCCTTTCCTGAGCCCCCCAATCCTGATTTCCTGCCTCTTCAAAGGGTCCTGAATCTACTTATTTGACCATAGGCTATAGCCTGCCCCTCTCTATCCCGCTTCTCCCAGAAAGCAAGCTCCTGGAGGGCAGACTGTTATTAATGATTGCCTTTGCCTCCCCACTACCTGGCACACAGTAGGCACTTAATAATTGCTTGTTGAGTTGAACTGGGGTGGCATTTGGAAAGCAGCCTGAGTGGTCCCAGCAGACTTGAAAGAGAAACACAAGCAGAGAAATTCTCTGTAAGGAGCCTGTACTGGGTTGGGCATCCTGGCTCCGGGAGGCTCCCTGCTGAGTATGCTCAGGATTCTCAATTATATTAGGGCCTAATGAAGTCCTGGGAGAGCCTTGATTTCGGGTTTCCAAGGGCAGAGCCAGTCCTCTGAGGATGGAGGATTTCCCAGACTATCTGTGCTCTCCATTGGCTCTGCGTTGTGCTCGTTCTTGGTGCTGGACATCAATGTGGTCAAAACCTCTCTCTCTCTCTCTCTCTCTCTCTCTCTCTCTCTCTCTGTCTCTCTGTCTCTCTGTCTCTCTGTCTCTCTCTTTTCTCTCTCCCTCCTCTCTCTCTCTCTCTTGTTTTTTTCTTGTATTCTTTTTTAAATTTATTTTTAGTTTTCAATGATCACTTCCATAAGCTTCTGAGTTTTAAATTTTCTCCCCCTGCCTCCCCACCTCGCTCTCCAGGACGGCACGCATTCTGATGTAGGCTCTACATATACATTTTTCTCTCTTTTTAAAAAATACTTTTTAATAGATTTTTTAGTTTTCACATCACATTCATTTCCAAGTCTCTCTCTCCCCCACCCAGTGAACCACCCTTTGTGAGGAAGATTTAAAAAGAAAGAAAAAAACCAGGTCAGCAAAACCAAAACTGACCTTGTCTGACAGTACAGTGTATGTAATAGTACGTAGTATATAGTACATGTAGACTCCAAGGTCATCCCGTGCACCCCGGCCACTGGACTGTGATGACTCTGGAAGGGAGAGAGAGGCTGACCACTTTGTGCATCTCTGCCTTACTTAAATCCAATTCACTCTCCAGTCAAGTCAAGCCCCATGATGTCACTGGTCCTTTCTGAACAACAAATAGGTAGTGTTTTCGATGCCCCTAGCACCCCCCTCCCCCCCAAAAAAGGAAAGGAGATACATTAGTTCAGCTTATCTCAGGGAAGAGTTTTTATGAAACTCGGCGGAGGTGATGTAGATAAAATGTTGCGCTCTTTAAAGGGTCCTATGTATATCATTCTCATGATTCTTTGTCCATAAATCACAGCTCCTAACTTCCCTTGGCTCACAAATGGTCATTTAAAGACATGGAGTTTCATCTAATTTTTTTTTTACATGGGATTAACTTTCAATTTTTCCTCATCAATGATGAGATGGTATCAAATGATATTTATAATAATAATAGCCCAGAACACTAGACCGTTTGCAGAGTTCATTGTATTTATTTGGCATTGAATCATGGAATATTATAAATGGACCTTGTGGTCCAACCCCTTTATGGATGAAGAAACTGAGGCTCAGAAAGGATGCTTGCTGGAGATCACACAGCTCATTAGTGATAGAATCTGGATAAAAGCAAGGTGGTAGGTGAAGGGAATAAGCATACAGTGCCCAGTGCTTTGATAATGTTGCCTTGTTTAATCCTCACAACAATCCTGGGAGGTAGGTGCTGTTATTACCCCCATTTTACAGAAGAGGAAACTGAGGCAGAGATAAGTGACTTGACCAAGGTCACACAGCCAGTGTCTGTGGCTGAATTTGAACTCAGGTCTTCCTCACCCAAGGCATAGGGCTCTATCCATTGCGCCACGTGGCTGAATAGGGAAATCCCACCACTTTTCAGCTGACAGTCTAGAAAGGGAACACAGACCTATATTTACCTTTGAGACAATTCAAGAGTCAGATCATTCCAATACCGAAAGGAGAGACTTGGAAGGAACCTCAAAGCCCATCCAGCTTAACCCACACTGAAGAGAAATCCCTAATGTATCACCCTGAAAATCATCCTCCCCCTTCGCTTGAGGACTTTTGGGAAGAGAAGGAAGCCCTTCCCCCCTGCTCCCCCCCGCCCCGGCCAGCCCGTCCACTTTGCATCGGCTCTGACTGTTGGCACGTTTTCCCCGAGATGCAGACACAATTTACGCCTTTGCTTTGCTGCCTAATCTACTCTCCGCTGCCAGACAAATCTAACCTCCCTCCAGTCGGGTCACACCAGCTTGGAATCGGTTGTTAAATTTTCCGTGGGAGTATTTACGCATAACTGGAGATCTACAAAACCTTCCAGTCAGGGCTTGATTTATTCTGTAGATTGTCCAGACCTAAGGAGGCAAAGGTCAAAATGTTAATAATGTGAGTTAAATTGAAAAGCATTTCATGCATACGTGAACCATTTTTTCTAGAGAGCCGGTTGTTAAACATTTACCAGC